CACACTCAGGAACTTGGCTGCTTTAGTTTGAACTCCACCCCAACACTTATTAGCTGTATGATCTTGGGCTAGTTAGTCACCAAAGTTAATCCTCCTGCACCTTGGTTTCCTCATCTGTGAAATAAGAATAATCCCCACTTCACTGGGCTGCTGTAAAAATTAAATCAATTAACATGTAAAGCATTTGGTGTGGTGCCTGACATATGTAAAGTGCTATGAGTTAGCTATTATTAACAAATAAAGATCTGCCTACATAAAAAAAATCCTCTTACAGATTGTGTGTTTTTTTATTTTTTATTTTTTTGGAGAGGGGGTAATTAGGTTTACATATTTATTTATTTATTTTTATAGGAGGTGCTGGGAACTGAACCCAGACCTTGTGTATGCTAAGCATGCACTCTACCACTCAAGCTATACCCTCCCTGACCCTCCAGATGGTGTTTAAAAGATCTTTTATTAAGCCAGTTACTTAGAACTCTAGATCCACATCCCTGGAAATTCAATGCTGGTAAGATATTTCACAATTCCATAGAAACTTACAGAACACAGTGAGCCAAAACTACAGTTTCTCATTCTTTCTAAGGACTATGTATCAAAAGTTACAACTAGGAAAAAAAATCTTATTTTTCTAACCACATTCTCAGGTTCTAGAAGTGACTAGAAATAACTATTTAGTGCACAAGGGACAAAAATGATCCTTTCTTTTTTCTCTAGACATGAATAGGGACTTTGAAAGAGACACTAGTGATTTTTACGGTTACATTAGGAGTAGAAAGAGTTATTTGTGGGTTTTGGGTCATAAGCATTGCATTTCTTGCTAATGGCAAAGTAATGATAATGAAAAGTCAGCTATGTGTTACTCCCAGCAAAGAGTGGCAAAGGCGAGTATACCTATGCATGGATATACCTGCATGCAACACATTCACGGAATATTGACTTTATCTTACAGTTCTTCATAACTGACAAACTGTCATCCGTGAATACTACATTGGAAAATCAAAATCACTGTAAGATCTCTTATTCCCATTTTTTCAGCTAGACTTAGAAATTTCAGTCTTGAAGTTCATACAGATATTAAAATTGGATGGTAATTCATGCTGGATTCCACTTCTCAAAAAATTCTCTATGATAAACAAGTTCATACTGTATAGCACAGGGAACTATATTCAATATCTTGTAGTAACTTATGGTGAAAAAGAATATGAAAACGAATATAGGTATGTTCATGCATGACTGAAGCATTATGCTGTATACCAGAAGTTGACACAACATTGTAAACTGTACTTCAATAAAAATATATATGAAAAAGAGAAAAATAGTATGTAATACAATTTCAATTAAAATGTTAATAGTTGATAAAAAAAAATTCTCTAAGATAAAGATGGAGCAACTCACAGCTATCAGAAGAGCAAGGGAATTTCCAATAGTAGCAGAGAAGTAAAAGAAAAAATTACCATTGCCAAAACAACTATTTCACAGGTTCCTTGTTACGCCCAGGGCTGCTGGTACTTCCACTATATTCTCAACTTTATATAAATTAAATACAATACTTTTTTTTAAGTTTTTGCATAGAATTTTCTATCCAAATAGGATTGAGGTTACATAATTCATTTAACATTTTATTCTCCAAGAAACTTTCACGTGTAAACTATGTCTCTTTCTAAATTGGACTTCTGTAACTGAAATAATTAAACATAATATAAATTAAAAGTATAAAATGAAGTGAAATTTAAAATGTAGACACCAGAACCGAATTTGTTTGGTTTACAAATGAACTTTGATAAACTGGGTTCTTTCTTAGAGCAAAAACAAGCATATTAATTTGCAAGGTCTGCTTGTCAATCAATAGACTTTGGTTAGCAAAAAAACACTGAATGATATAATGACATATTTGTCAATATGTATTTAACACTTATTTACTTTTAATAAACTCTTTGCAATACAAAACATGTTTCTAAAGGATAAAAAAGGAAACACTGGATCAGTTGACTAAGTTGATTCCACTTATGAAACTAATGTACAGGCTAAAAAAGATACACTGTAAAAAGAAGTAAAATTATACATCTTCATTTTAACTAAAGAAACCAAAATCTCTTACTACTGAAAGAACTACAAGTCAAAAAAACAGCCCAATGAAGAATGGAGAATGAAGATAACAGCTACCAAAAAAACACCACCCATTGGAGGACGCGAGATGGCCTGCCATCTTTACCAACTAATATGAAGACTAACTTTCATCTAACCACAAAATTTTGACCTAGCCACAATTCAAATACCAAAAGTATAACAGGAGAGCATTGTTTATCCCAATGTTCAAAATTCTGCCACTTTAAGAGGTAAAACGCTTCCTTTAATTTGCCTTTCAAGCTTCTCAACAAATTACTGTAAGCCACATCTTAAATTAACTGATATTATACAAACACTTGAGAATCACACAACTATCGAACTGAAATGACTGATATTTTATGTAATTGCCATAAATAAAAGTTCCCTGAATGCCTACAAAGATGGAACAAGCAGGAAAAACTCATGACTCTTTCGGTGCTTACAATTATGCCCAGCAAAAAAGCAGCAAGAAAAAGGAAAAACACACAAGCTAGTTGAAACAGCAATGAACAAATATACTTTCTGCAGGCTTTCACAGGGAATACCTCAATTGCAACAAATACTAATCAGCTGCTTTAATTTTAAAAATCCCACTATTTAGAACTCAAAAATTGACTAACCTGTAGACAAAGGTGCATTAAAAGTACCCCAAAATTTGCATTTTAACTAAAAATGAACAAATACTATTTTACATGCACCCTCAAACTACAATAGTTTCAACATGGCTTTCCACTTGCACACTCTAGGTTTTTAGGTTCCCTACTCCCCAAATTTAAACGCAGTATTCCAATCTCCCAGGAGTCAGCACTAGAAAGAATACTATAGTGTATCACTGACCACATCACTGGAAATTAAGCGCCTAGCTGCAGTGAACAAGGTATAGAATCACATTTTGTATAACTTTGTATCCTAAAGAACACTTGGTACAAGGTCCTAAACATACCAGGCGCTATAAATATTTACTGACTCAAAACAGTCCTTCAACACTTTGTAGTTTTGTTCCCCACTACTGAAACAAAAACTGCATAGCTTTGCAAAACCCAAAGGACCCAAATGTTACTGAAACGTCACAGAATACATTGTTTTATGGTTCAGAAGTTTCGCCTTGCCCCTATCACCAGTTGTAACGTTTTTTAAAGACGCTAGCAACAATGAGTAGGAAAGTTTATCCAGGCAGAAGCAGACTTCAAAGCCCACTAAAAGTATTTTAAGTTAAAAGTTTACGTATTTATCTTTTATCTGTTTAACATTAACATTCTAAAATCAGTAAATTGTATCAGCAACTCAAGAGACAGTTTTGCAGTCAACCTAATCTCCAGGAATATAAATATAAATGGTACGAATTAAAGAACAAGTAACCAAGCAGGAAAGCTGCCTAAATTCCGGCAACAAGGTAAGGACTGTTTACATCAAAGTAATGAAAAATACAAAAATACATTTTTGTATTCTATAGACCTTTTCATGACTCGTTTTTAAAAGTCTTTAAAAAGTCAAAGCAAACTGATCAGCCATACCAAAACCACAAACTACCATTAGATACGCAAAAGTATCTGGCAACCAGGTCTAGAACTGGTTCCAGGATTATCAACGGTTTTCTGGTTCTTAACATACTCCATCGTGCCTACAAAACAGTATTACTCAGATGTGACATTCCTAAAATGGCAACACAGGCCTAGAAGTTTCGGTGAGCCAGTGCCGGCAAACCCAAACTGTGACAGAGATACTCTCTCCTTTGGGCGGTAACTATCAACTTTGGGCTCTGGGATCAGTTCAAAAAGTTTAAGATGGTGCTTAAATTGGGAGTGTAACAGTAGAGTCAGTAGAACAGACAAAGAGGAAATCAAATGGAAAATTAAGTTTAAAGGTTAAGTTTCTATTTCCAATAAACTGTCTGAGAAATCTTCCAGATAATAAAGACTTGATATAACAGATGGCTCTAGGCCTGTTCGCATTCTCTGAGGCGTGCGCACTGCTCGGAAAGGATGAATGAATGGAAGACTGTCGCGTGTGAAATGCAGCAGGTCCGGCCGGCAACCAGACCGGCAGCAGCGATCAGTAGGCCTCGCTCCTCCCCCTTCCCTCCTCCATGACAGCCCAGTCTCAAGCATGGAGGGGCGAGGACAATGTGATTCCTTCTAACCACCACCCACCCTTCATCCTACTCTCAGCTTTACCGCAAGACACGGAGTTCTCCTCCCCACACCAAACCTTTCTCGCTTCCAACCCCGGCAACTCTCGGACGCGCTGGAGTAACATGTGCTCGCCCTTCTCGGCTCCCCTCGGCGAGGTCGAAGCTTCTCCGCGCGTGCCGCGGCACCACTCCCGCCCAGCCCATCCTCTGGCAACGCGCGCCCACCGGCTCCCTGGCCCACCGGCCTACGGAAACCCCGCGCGCGCCCCGCACCCGAGCCCCTGGGTTACAGCTCGGGAGGGAGAGAGGGAATGGGACAGGAAAAGGCTGCCCCGGGGTTCCCTCCTCCATCCCATTCCAGGCCAGCTCGCCGCCCACCCTGCCTGCGGATTCCGGCGCCCGCCCGGAACCGGCCCCGCGCCCTGCTACCCCGAAAACACAATTCCCACACACCTAGCCCAGGCCCCGGATCACCCTTCACCCTTGTAGACCCCTCGCTGCTCCGCAAGAGGCACCGCGCCGCCCCTCCCCCACCCCTCTCCCCGGGCCCTCGGGCCCCCACCAGAACGTGTGCTCTACACGCCGTCGCGGCCAGCCTCCGGGGCGCCCCCAGTTGTCCGCCGAGAAGTCAGGCCCAAGAAGAGGGGGAGGGGGTGGCAAGGGGTAGCGTGCGCGCCGGGAACGCCGTCCCGCGGGGTCCCCCAGTCCGAAGGGAGACGGAGCGCGGGGACCGGTGGGGGTGGGGGCCAAAGGCAATACTCACCGGTTCCACAGTCGCCATCTTAGATCGATCTGATCGCACAACCGCTTCTGAAGGGGGGGGTGAGAGAAAAAAAATGAGATTCAAACCGGATTGGCCGGCTACTGTTCACGTGACGGACGTGTCCGTTTGGCCCTGGCGGCGCCTGCGCAAGACTGCGGCTGCGTGTGTAACGAGAGGCTTCTGGGAAGTGGAGTCTCTCTGTCTCTCGCTTTTTTTTTTTTAAGTAGAGAAGTTTTTTAAAAAAAAAGGACTGGTCACGTGGCCGAGGGGTATGGTTCGCGGTTCTCGGAGCGGCGGACACTCGCGTGCTGAAGAGTGGTTTTTCAGTCCTCTGCTCTTCCGCCTGGATAGCTGCTGTCTCACTTACTACCAGGCATGCCTCCTGTGCCCTTTGTCGCCCTGTCCTCCCATCTTCCGCGGAAGGTTGGGAACTGTAGGCTCAGCACGCACAATAAAGCTTCATTTGCTTAGTTGAGGTCCTAGAAGTTGCCTGTGTGCTTATTTAATTTTCTTTTGACTTCCCACCATTTTCTCTGTTTCAAAAAGAGGCGGTGATGGAGAATCGTTAAGCAGTCAACCCTCCCCCGTCCCCCGGCTCCGCTAACGCTGGTGGTCACTCATTGCCATCGCTGTGAAAAAGGGTGGCGGAACTGCCCACAGTACCCACTTGCCACAGGTGGGGGGAGGGGGAGTGCACCCGACAGCTTTTCCTGTTCCAAATCCTGAGATTAAGACCTCAGAGCCTAAATCTTGCGTGGAAGTAAAAATTATTTAAACGTTCTGTCCTCTCGGTTCCACTGTCTGTTTTAACGTGAACGGAAATAGCCCAAGTCCAGGTGCCAGCCAGGGAAGCCACTCCGGCCCCCGCTGACTAAGCCCTGGACTGACCGTCAGGGGTCGTTAGGCCGGGTCAACTATGACTCTTGACGTTGACTCATTCTCCTTAAGCTAGTGACTTAATCTTTCAGTGCCTCAGCTTTTTCATTTATGAACCGCGGATGGTAATACACTTACCTCACAAGGGTGTGCTGTGGTAATGACTGTAATCAGCTTTGAAAATGCATCGTACTCTATAAATGCTTCATAATAAGCAACCTCGTGCCTTTCTAAGGATCAGCTGCTTCCCCTGCTGTTTTTTTAAAACAATATTAAAAGTTTTTCTTTTGTGTACTTTGTTATATTATCATGTATACCAATGCAATTTTAAAGTTTCAAGACAATTTTGTTCTTTATAACTAGCTACTCTCTGTAGAGGCTTTAATATTTAAGAAAATATTGTTATATTCACAACAATCACTAGCAGCTAGAAATTTATCCCTACAGTGGCATTCTACATTTCCTTTCTCTTTAAGAGACTGTGGTGTCATTTCTCAAGACAGTGTTTTTCTGCACAATCTGGTTACTAATACAAAAAACAGAGGTAACGAAATCTAGTAGAGAGCTGCCGTAAGGTTTTAATGATGAAGACATTGTATCACTATTTTCCATACTTCTTAATGATGGTAACACCAGAAAAATCAGTATGAACAGGCCACCTGTGCTTGCCTGCTTATAGTGTTGCTGATGTCCAGAGCTGTGTCATACCTATTATTGAGTACATAATGGTTGCTTGAGTTGACTAACACATAATTGAGGTTGTAATAAGAACTCAAAACCATTGCCTGTTCATATACTTTGATTCACCTGGATGTCAGAGATGATTAATGAAAGCTTTTGTCCAGTCAGCTTAGCTCTAGTAGGTTTAAAGTAAATAGAACTCTAAAAAATAAAATGAAATAAATAAATAAGTGGATTTCTATTTACAGAGACTACCTACTCTTTTTTTTTTTAACTGAAGTATGGTTTACTTACAATGTGTTAGTTCCTGGTGTATAGCATAGTGATTTAGTTATATATATGTATATGAATATATATATATATATTCTTTTTCATTATAGGTTATTACAAGAAATTGAATATAGGTTCCTGTGCTATAAAGTAGGACCTTGTTGTTTATCTCAGAGACTATCTACCCTAAGTTAAACTATCCAAAGTAATTATACTCTGTCACAGTGATATTCTCTGTTGATTAAAAGTAGTATCTGGTTATCTTCTTTGGGGAGACAGTATAGATGTATTATCTTCCTGATGCTGCTAGACAATAGAGCAAAGAGATTTAAATTTTTAAGAGATTTCAATCCCCATGAAGAACTGAAAACCACTGATGTTCCTAAAAAATTTGTTAATGGTACCTTCCATTTTATGAACTTTTCTCTTGATCAGAAAACACTTCATTTTTGTCAGTCACCCTAGGACTTCTACAATACATCTATATGCTCCTATTCTCTACAGCTTAATTTCTTTCCATTTTGGATACACTTTGTCGCATGTGTTTTATAACACAATGTGTCTGTCTAATATTATCATTAGATTCTATCATGTCAAAGATTTAGTGATTAGATATATCTCTGTGGGTAGATGATTGTTTTATTTTGACCAATCTGAAATATACAGAGCAGAAATTTTATACTTTATTAATCTATTAATCCACAAAAAATACATTTGTTACATCACTACCTTATTTGTGCCTGTATTAAAGAAAGGATAATAAAAGGATATTTGAAATGGGATATGGTATTGAAATACTTATTTCAATATTTATACTCTACTTGATTGAATTATCTAGTTAATACATAACTAGTGGCCCAGCACAGTATCATGGTAACAGTTATTTATAAGCCTGGAATTGTTGGTTATCATTTAGCATCTGTAATTAGTCATGGTCTTTTCTTTACATAACATATTCCTGAAGCTCATATATTACTAGTCTTCATAGATTTAACTCAAGCTAAAAAGGCTTTAAGTAATTTAATAGAATACATCATAATAAAAACACATTTTTATCATGTATTTTGTCATTGGAATTTCATTTAGGTTTTCTTTCCTTTTTTTTGTTT